TGCCAGTTCTGAGTTCCTGTGGCAACAGGCTGCTCAAGTACCACCTTAACGGTGGTAGCACCACCTTAGCAGCATCAAATTTTTATTCAGAGCATGAGAGAATAAGACTGGAATTGATACTGAATTGAAAATGTAATATATTCCCATAAAAATATTGGTGCCAAGATTGCAGCAGAAGTATGTAGAATAGTATTTTCTGTCATTCTGTTTCCAGAAAAGTAGGTAACTTTCAAAGTATCTAAAGGCATGAGGATGCAAGACTTGAAGAAATGCATTGTGTTGAAATCTGAGTAGGACAGAACACCATGACAGCAAGCTGTGGCCAAGCAGACAGTGGCAGTACCTGAAGTTAACCCCACTCCACTCCCATCGGCCAGAATACCCGTGCCAGTTTACAAACTGGTATAGAAAAAGGAAACAGAAAGCAAGAAGTTACCAAAGATCCTCACAATTGGTTGTTAGGTTACCTGCAAATAATTCTGATAAGGAACCAAGGAACGGAGCACTGTATAATCCCCTAACAGATAGCTGTAAGTTCACAGACTGAGTTGCTGCCTTTAGCTGTTGTCTCCACACTCACTTTTACCTTCCTTTTTTCCACGGCATTTCATTTGGGTGAAATCCCCAAATCCATTGGTTCCTGCAGGGTAGAGGTAGCGGTACTGGCTTGACCAGTAGCTCTCCTCACTGCTAGCAGAAGTTAAGAATACCCAAGCCCCTGTGAGCAAACACCTTCTGCCTCTCCTGCACGCTTCGCTGCCAAATTATTCATCTCGCAGACAAACAGGAACTGGCTTTTATGCTTGAAGGGTGTTTACGTCTTGCATAATTTATTTAAGGTCCTATCCTGCTTCCATCAAGCTCAAGAACAAGCCATTACACGTATTTCAAAGGTAGAGGGTCCGACTCCTTAGTCGAGGAGCTTCTCTGGACAGACACCCTATCAGAGGGTTGGCAGGGGCCAACCTCCCTTTTTCCCTCCCTCTCTCTGCTTCCCACCACCCACTTGGTGTAATAAGAAGTGCAGAGTCCAGCAGCCTACGCACAGGATGGGAGAGCTCATGGGGGAAAGGGACGGGACTCATCCCCCTCCAGAGAAGCAGGTATCAAGACACAGCTCACTACTACCCCCAAAAAAACCCAAGAAGCCAAATAACAGAAGACCATTTTGAAGGGGCGGAGAGAACTAATTCCAAATTAACCATGGCAAATGCAGACGAGCTTTATGAGGTGGGCCAAAAGTGTCAACTCTTTCAGGAGTACAAAAGCTTTGCTGAAAAACTGACACTGCAATTAACTGCATCCATACTGAGCCCCCGTTACTGGGGCTGGGCTCCACCCCGGCGGACAGGGTGCCTTACCACAACGCACAAGAAGGTGCCCGGCCTCTACCACCGTTAAAAGCCTATTTCCCAGTCAGCACTTCACATGACAAAATATATTGCTTCATGTAACCGTATGACCTACAGAGCTACATAAGATCGCTAGCCAAGAGAAAACCGTCATTCAAAAACATAGCATAAAGCTTGCACTTTATGTCTTTAAAATGCTTTACTGTATCAGCATCTTTGTTAATTAAGATTTTAATGTAGATATGCAGTTATGTCCATTTCAATACATAGGATACATGCCATATATAGTCTAGCTACAAAATAGCTTATGACTGACAACTGGCTAAATAAATTCCACCTAGAAATGAATTCACACCTTTAGATTTGTCAAATAATCTCCACCGCAATCCCAAAGTGTGGGTAAAGTCCTACACTGCTGAAATAATTGCTGAAGTTACCCACCGACTATGGGACGTCATCCTGATACATCTTTTACTTGAAAATGAAATAGTAAAACAGTACTTCAAGAAAAGGCAGCAAGCTCGTATTCAATGGGAGCACACCTTAAACACAACGATGGCAAGTTTTGGATTTCACTTACAGAGAAAAGAAAAAGAAACAAAGAGGAAATTTAGGAACGTAACATGCAACCAAGTTTATTTTCATGTGTTCACAGCAGGATAATCTCCTGCTGCTTACAAATATTGTAGAACGGGTTTACTATCATCTCTGAATAAAGATGGACACTGTTCTTTGCCCTTAGGTAGTCTACCTGGATTTTTGCTTTTCATTTACTGGAAAAAATCTGATACTGCTTCCAGAATTAAAGCTTCTCTTGGGGTTAAACAATTCACATGGTGACAATTTCTGAATGCCTGCTACTTGCACATAGTTTCAATTACATAAGTTTTATAAAGGTCAAATATGTTTCTCAACAATGCTGAAGCCAACTTACAGATATCAAAACTAACCTGAGATTAAATACAGTCAGACAAGTTAACCTGCCTAATTTCGAGTCTATTATTATTTTTATGATTACATACGTATTCTGCCTGTGTTCTCTGTGGTCTATGAAATAGTGTTTGCAGTTTACAAAAGCAAGCAATGTTAATTACTCGTTAACATGTGGTTTCCATCTATGTTTATTTTATGGATATTAACCTGAAATTAAGTCAACACAAAAGAAAAAGAAAATAATTAAGTATTTTCAGAGGCAACACAAGCCTGAGTCTCCTGACAGCTGCTGTGCTTTTGCAGAATTTTAAGATACACACATACATACATACATACATTTTTCCCCTTCTATTGCTATTTAAGTTATGTATGCAAAAGGGAGAAATCAGCTTTTCAGGGAAAAGCATGGCTTTAACTGTGACAGATATTGATTTGTTATGTATCAATCTAATTCAGAAACAAGATAACAGATACAGGTTGCATACTTCAAACACTTCAGTACCAGAGCTCCCATCTTGGCTGCTGTAATTCAGAGACAGTTGGCAGAACACATCAGAATCCCGCTCAACAGACACTTGAAAGCAAGCGACCAAAAGCTCCCTCACTGTGCATTTCTGTACGTGGCACACAAAACTGTCTTTAAGAAATCAAGCATTAGGCAGACCCGATGACCTTATTCCACCGAGTGTGTCAAGATACCAGGGAAAAAAAATAAAAAGCAAGTTATATATCGTACTTGCAATGAAATAGGTCTCAGAATCATCCTTTAGTTCTCCACCCCCAACTACTGGTACTGAACCAAGCCAGGCCCGTGAGGGCATTATGGTGAATTCAGAGGGGTCTGAAGCTTTTGGTCCACTCGGTCACAAAACTGTGAATTCCACAGAAACAGGCAATAACTAGTGACCTGGGAATCGTGAAAGGGCCCATGATCCAGCTGTCACTTGCTGCCCAAGTTGTCTCAAGATAGCACAAAGTAATTTGAAAAGCAACAGATAAGGATGTTGGGCGCAACCTGAATTTAACACGATTAAAAAAAAAATTTAGAGAAACGTGATTTTTAAATTGAAGCTGCACTTTTAAGTAACCAACAGTAACAAAAGCAAGTGAATCACCTTAATTATCACCAACAAGCAGACCCAGAACAACTATGGATGCGTAGCTGTGGCTGGAGGACGTTAACAGTTTGTAAAACATATCATGTGGCAACCTGATACTTCTGGTTGAATAGGATTTGTTTCCAGAGATGATTAAGACATCTTCGGCACAGCTGTAACCATATAGTAGAGGTATCTTCTGTACCTCGGAAACTGTTTCTGAACTCCAGGCTAATCCTCTGAACTTGACATTCAAAACTTGTTTTGAAAGAATTACCTATCCACCCTCAGGCAGAAAAATAAAACCAACCCCTCTTAACACCTTTGCCAACTATTCTATAACATAGCAACTCTTAAATACTCTTGTGCTGTTTTCAGTTGCAGTCCACATATGTTAACTACGGCATAATTACCAACCACCATTTGACTGCAATGGTCCTCAGAAGGCTGAAGGTAATTGTGTGTGCAGAGCCAGATGCACAGATTGTAGTCTGCCAGTGGAGCAGAATAAGCATAAAGACTCAACCGTTTCAGAAGTACAAGGCAATTTTTGCACCACTTAATAGGTATTTGATGGAATACTAAAACAAAGCTGTCCTAGGGAGATGTCTAAGCATAAAACCTCTCTGCAGAGAGGAACATTTCTTGAAGGACACACGCTAACCTCTAAAAGGTTTTGTTAAAGTCTCCTCATATTGGTCTGTTACTCCATAACTACAGTCTCGGAAGGCAATATTCATTTTTCGTTTTTAACATTCCCACTTAGCACGTGATACTCGCTTATTTCAAATGCAGGATTTGGGATTTTAAGCACCACTGCTGTAATTATACCTATCAATTTCTTTAATCCACTGAAGATCTTCCCAGTCTTCCAGGTGCACCCCCCTGAGATGCACTTATCAGGAGAGAATGAAGCTGCTTGCAAGGCTTTTGGGTATTTTCATGGAGAAAATATGCCCTAAATAATGCCAGTTTAACAGTTCTCATACACTTAAAAATTAGCTGCTTGGAATCATGTGTTCCTGTTTGGTTGAATACATTCCTATCTTTGCTATGAAATATATGGCTCTATCAACTGCTTCTTTATAAGCTTGTTATATGACAGTGCAAAACTACTTATTTTCTGTTTCATCAAGAAGTAATTCCCTCAGGCATTAAGATGCGACATAAAATCTTTTAATATACTGAGCAATTTCATTAAGTTCTCTGTAAAGAAAGCAAAATACAGCATGAAATACAAAAGCTTTTAAAACATGCCAGGGAATTTCAGGGGGAAGGTAACAAATTATGCAAGCCACAGGCCTATATTACACATTAAAAATGTTGGCTGAGACATTAAACAACCACAGAAACATTTTTATATAATATGATTTAAGATCTATTGTTCAAGAACTCGAGAGCAAACATTTGCTCTTTGCTGATTAATATTAGCAACATTAAAAAAAAAGCTCAAAACAAAAAAAGGCAATTCTTCTGATGACTGAAATACATTCACAGGTAGAATTCAAGCATGTAGTTCTTTCCACAGAATACCTCCAAATAAAGCAGAGCCAAGCATTGCCTGAGAGATTAAACACCGGGAAAACTCTACACAGCAGAGATTCCCACTTTCAGAATTTTACTTTTTCCTGCTTTTGAGGGAGCTGTTGTGAACTCTTACTCTCTTCTGCACGGAAGAAGCAATCTTCATAGATGCTTTCTTTGCGAGGGACCTTTCCACAGCTCTGGGTTTCCATAGCAACAGCTGAGCATCCTCTCCACCCGTCAACAGAGACTCATCTATCAGGTTCCAGCAGAAGGAGCGAACAGTGGCAGCGTGTCCTCCGCAAAGGGTACCCACCAGGCTCAGTCCGTCGGTGCTGCAGCTGATGAGGTGAATGTTTCCTGTGGACGTTCCCCCGATGAGAAAGAGTTTGTCTGCCTTTTCGTGGTACAAGCCACCTACCAGGTAATGTAAGCTGTCGTTTTCAATGCAGACTGCGTCTCTGACATCCAGAACGTGCAATAGTGTTATCGGTTCTTCGGTATCTAACTGAGCAATGTCCCACCAACAAAATCCCTCATCGTGCGTCATGCAGTAGACCTGTTTATAATCTTTCCCAGACCAGCCAATAAAACTTACTGATGAATTGGAGTTGCAAGTTGATATCAAAGCATCATCTTCGTTATCCTTGTTAATGTCGAACACATTAACCAACCCATCAGTTGACCCAGAAACTACCAAATTGGGTTTGATAGGATGAAAACAAATTTTAGTGATATCATCATTGTGACTTTCAGAATAGACTCCCAACGGTTCTTCAGCTGCGCTGGCACAGTTTGTAATGCCTCTTGCATCCCAAAACACCAGAAACGTGTCCTTTTCGACTTTTTCTGTTCCAGCACAAATTATGAGATCACTGCAGTTGATATCAAAACTGATGAAAATGTTGGAAGGATAGCCACTAAATATCTGCACAGCTTTCTGAGTGGCTAAACGAATATCCCAACATTTTACTGTACCATCACTGCATGCTGAAAACACTATGCTGTCACATGCGTGTGCAAATCTGACTCCATTAAGTATCCCAGGACAGCTACGGTACTCCCGCAGGAAGTTTAATGTTTCCCTGTTATATACCCTAATTGACTTATTGGAACACGAAACTGCCACAAAACGACTGCTTTCAGATTGAGCAGGTTTGGAAACGTCTATATCCAGTAAGTAAGCAGGTTCCTCACTTAGCGTAGAACGTTTTGCTATGTGCAGACTAGCAAGCTGCTCCTCAATCTTCTCCACTGCAGTCATCTCAAATGCTGTTCCTAACGTTGTCAGAAACCTGTAATAAATAAAATCCAAGGTGAGTTTTAATTATAACATTTTTAAATAATATTAGCTTTAAAAATATGTATGAAAAAGCATCTTGCACAGAAATGATGCGTGAAGTCAAAATTCAATTATCCTGATGTCCTACCCACTACAACTTCATTTACAGAAACAGAGAACCGGAAAGGGCTCCCCGAGTTAAGGAGTTCAGTCTCTTGTGACTGTAAGCACTACATCACATAATCTCCTTAAAAGATTAAATAGTCTGTCTTGAATCCTGTGGAAGTCACTTAGCTAAATTTCCTTTATTATTTTTATAAAGTAAACAGTAAAGTGATGTTCTCCACAAGTGGAAAGAAAATGAAGTCATCACCACTACCTGAGGAGGAATAATTTTTGTTCTAAAAAGTTGCTAGGAGGCACAGCCCACAAATTGTTGCATCAGTACAACTGCAGGAGACTTCTTAGGTGAACTTTTCTGCTGAGGGACGCGCAAAGGGTAGGCAGAGAACAAGACCAAAATTACATAGAACTACAGCCTGAAATGGCCAGATGAGATAAATTTTACAAGTATTTAGGTGCCCAATGACGCACATAAACACCTGTCAGCATGCCATGCACCATCTAAATAGGCTACATGACATCAGTGGAATTCATTGGAATTAAGCACTTTTGCCTTTTTCATCAATTCTCCCAAGAACCTAAATGTTTTTTGAGCCTCCTATAAAACCACATAACGCTGGCTCTTAGGGCAACTGATAAAAATCTTCCCTTCAGAGGCAATTCTTCTCTGGCACTACTGAACCCTCCTAGAAACCCAAACTATTTCAGTGATGTACACAAATTCAAATTTTACCAAGCAAAACCAAAATTAAACAATATTCTCTCAATCCTCTCATACATAGATTCAGCTCTAAAAAATGGTGTGCCCTAATTAAAAAAAAAAAAAAAAAACAAAACAAAAAAAACCAAAAAGAGAGTTCTTTCTGTAACACAAAGGAAAATTCAATTCTGTAATTGCGGTAAAGGCTTTCATCAATTTAGAGTCAGAAAAAGTACTGAAGCATTTAAATTTAAAAGAGATATTTGCCATCATAAACAATACATGGTTTTAGTGAGTTCACAAACTACAACCATTTCTAAAAGAAAGATGTAGGTGGGGTATGTTAAGTAAGCATAACCATCCACATGAATGACTTTTGTTAAAATTACAGGTTCAATTAGACTACTCTTCTGTGTTTAAAAAAAATGAACATTGAGGGAATTACAGCACGTTCTAGGGCGTCAACACTCCAGTGACTTCTCACTGGTACAGATATTTCAGATAAAGCAGTACTCAAAAATCTCCTTATTTCCTTAAGGAGTAGGCCAGCACCCAATCCTAGTCACCACATGCAGGAAAGGACACTTTTTGAAAAAATCCAAACAGAAATGGAGTAAAAATCAGGCAGACCCAGAATGCAAGAAAATATTCTCATGCCTTCCCAGCTGTCCTATCATAAATTTTTCTGCAAATTCTTCAGGCTGGATTTTTAGGGATGGAATGAGCAAGTTTCCATGTATTACTTGTTTTAGGGTAATTATTTTAATGGTCCATGAGAGACTAGCAACAAAGGAAAAGTTGCTATGACAAAACTGCATTCTGCTTTTTTTTCTTCTTGGTGTTATAGTTTCAGGGTTTTGCTTTCCCTCCTCCTATTTGGTACATACAAATATTCATGACGCCATGTGACAAACGAGCAAATTCTTAAAAAACAGCTTAAGTAGGCACACTCATAAAAGCTTAATTCCCAAGTCACAAATAATCTCACTAAGCTATTTGCCTCAGTAATATCCTGACAATGAGGTCCCCAGGTTAATCTTCTACATCAAAGCAACCTTTCAGAGCACATCTACAAGTAATTTTTGCCATAAAACGCAGACATCCTGTGGAAACTCCTTTCCCCTCTGAAGAGAAGAAGTTCAACATGTTTTCTGGCATTAGCCTGCGTACAACCCGACCCACAGAGCTTGCTCCTTCCTTACTTTTCTGAGTATGTCCTCAAATGGAACAAGCTTTTACTAGAACTATTACATAAAGAGGACTCTTCTTAAACGCTGCTTGCTACACTGCTCGCTACACTGCTCAAACACAAAACTATTAAACTTCCATTGAAATTAATAACTTAAATTTAAGAAATTAAGTATTTTAATATTATTTATAAGGACAACTTTTCCTTAATCTAATTTACTGAAGAATTACAACGTAAGATTCTATTTAAATGCCGTTTCAAACACACATGCTTGCAGGTGGAGAAAGGAGTTTTCATAAACCAGCTATCTTGTAGTGCCATGGTTACAAAAAAAATTGGGTTCTCTCTGTAAACTTTTTGTAAGAAAAATGTAGTTTTCCAGACTGACCTTAATTTCAAGCTCTAAATATTCAGATTTTTTGTACTCAAAAGGCCAAGTAAATTCAAACAGACATGTTCTTAACATGTTCCTTTCCATTTGGAAAGCAAGCTGCAGTTGTTTAAATATTACTGACTTTGATAGAGAATATTATGCAATGAGCAGTTTCTACGACACTGATGTCAGAGCTTTTACTGCTTCAGAGGGGAGGGCGAGGGAACTCTACAAGTACCCAGAAGTTGTAAAAAGCCAGAGTCTGCAAAAGCATGTTCATTCAGATTTAATAATATTTTCTGGGAAATAAAATTAGCCCAAGATAGCTCTTAAGCTTTTACCCCTGAATGACATAGGTACAGCTATTCTGAAATACCAGAAAATGCTGTTCATGTCTCCAGATAGATGTGCAATTTATATCATCGGGAAGCTGCAGGGTACAGCTTTCAATTCTATTTCCACTGCAACAAGTCAGAAGCCTTAAAATTGCATTTGATGGCAGCCAGGTTTTTGCTAAAAACTCAGTAAAATGTCTGCCCTAGTAAGAAAGTCTTCAGACTATTACAAAATTGTGATTGAAGGTTATATAAACAATGCATGCTCAAACTTCAGGGTGTAGCTGCCAGCCCTTCCTTTTCAGAAGGGGAAGTCACTGTTGTATTTTGATGGGAAAGCTTAAATGGCAGGAATAGGATCTGTGTTAAATTTATGAGACAAATAGGAAACAATGGTCTTCCAAACACAATAGAAGATAACTAAGCATTGGACTGCAGCCACCTACAAAGCACATGGTGCTCTGCACCGCAGAAGCGAAGCACTTTTAGGTTAGCACTCCCTAATTTCAACAACACAGGTATCTCTTTTGTTTCTGCCACAAAGAATCCTTTGGCAAAGTCAGTATCTTTGACACCTGACATACTTTGGGTATAGCACAACAGCCAGTTGGGATGATCAATGAGGAAAACTGCTCATGCTAATGTGACAAACTGTCTGACACAAGGACTTTGTGGGGCACAGACAGCTTGCTCCTGAACTGTTCCAGTCTCAGAAGAAATCGCAGAGAGCATGGGCCAAAACCTCTTCTCTCCCCAAGGTACCTCCTTTGCTCAGAACGTGAGGTAGTTAATTAAATTCAGGTTCTTCACTTATTCTAACTCACAGTGGCCCACGGTCTGGATCTACAGTCTCAACACAGACAAAATTCAGGTGATGTTAAGGTGCAAGGAAAAGACCACCACTTGGGTTACACAGGAGTATCAGGCTGAAGGTGTCTGGCTATGGCTAGTCACTTGTGTTTGAAACAGAAGTCCAATCCCATCCTCAATGATCACCATTCCTTGTATGTAACAGCTGCATCTCTCATCTGCATTCACACCTGCACCCCCTGGGCAAGGTAAAGCCACCTTTTACAAATCAACCCTGAAACTTCTGTGTTATTGTATCTAGTCCTCTGGAACTACATTCATGGGATCTTTTCTACGAACTAACTTCACAGTTACATGCAACCCCTGCACATCTCCTTGATACCACAATTACCAGAAACAATAAGCTTCTTGAAGGACACTCAAAACTCATTACATCTTGGGAACTCAGAATAAATGCAGTACTCTGAAATAACCTAAAATATTTTGACCTCCAGGGCATCCTACAAGGCTCCTTTAAAAAAGAAATAAGCTTGATTTTTAGAATAGAAGGCACGAAGTGGAAAGGATGCCAAAGAGGCAGGACAGGATTTTCAGATGCCTTTGGTATGTATTTCTCACTAGTGGAGGGTGGGAACAAACACACAGCAAGACTAGAAGCAAACAGCCAGGGGTGCCGAAAGCAGGCCTTTCCAATGACAGAGAAATGAAAGGTAAGCACCTATCTGCACAAGCTAAACATTTAATATTGTCTCAGCACATACTGCTGTACTCTTCGTGCACTATTCTAAAAGCTGCAGTCTCAACTCAACAGAGGATTGAGTCCTCTTCAGTCCAGAAAGTTTTTCAAAAATTAAACCAGCAGTTCTTAAGTTATTTTCCTTCTCCTTTTAGCGGTGTACACAAGATGCTGCCAAATTGCATAGTTCTCATTTCCAAAAGGGAATGTTAGCTCAACAACATGTAGAAACATAAAATTACCCCTCTGAAAAATACCGTGGAAAATGTAGGAGAAATGGAACTTTCTCAAAGATTTAATCAGTAACGTAAGAGTAACTTATGAGTAGGAGGGTAGAAACACGTAATAAAAATGAAAACAACCTGTAGTTTTGGCAATCTTCTCTGCAGAGGTCAAATACCAAAAATAGCAAGGGATTTGAACAGCAGTAGATGAAATCTTGCACTGTTCTTTCCTACTATAAACAATACAAAGAGACCCTCCCTTTATCTGCATGATTATTAAAAGTTCAAGAACAAACTAAGAACAAACCTGAAGCTCTGGGCAGTGGAAAGCAATTCATGCATGCAACATTACATGTGGTTTGCATTTTAAAACAGAAATGCAAAGTGCAAGGTTGGCTGAGGAGAACACATTAGTACGCTGCACTTCACTAATGCAAAATGCCTTTAGAGACCTCTCCTCACCGGCATCACTTCAAAACAGAAGATGGATCAGCCAAACGATCTAAGTACTG